GCCACGAAGCCACGGAAGGAGCTTGTTTAGGACCTTGCCTCCAACGGAGCCCCCCCTCTCTTGGAGCTGCCTGGACAGGCTCAGCAAATGGCCCTGCCACAACGAGCCGAGCGAGCCCCTCTTCTCAGGAAGCCCCCCCCCCCCAGGGAGACCTGCTCACCTCTGGCCTCCCGGCTGGGCGTTCACCTCTTGCGCAGCCTGGCCATGAAGCAGCAGGTGACTGAGACCAGGATGGAGACCCCCAGAAGGAGGGCACTGGAGATGCCAACTGCCAGAGGGAGGAGGAGGGTGTCCAGGGCTGAGGAAGCAAGGGGAGGAAGGCATCAGCCCTCGCGCAGGGGAGGGCCTGGCGGGAGGCCCAAGCAGGGGGAGACTCGGGGCCGAAATGGCCTGGCTCTACTCACCCAGTGGATACGGGTACACAGTGACCACGTTGGACTTGGCCGAGGCGGCCTGATACCAGCTGCGGTCAGGGGAGCGCACCCAGGCGGTCACAGCGCAGTGGTAGTCCCCTTCATCCGAGGGCTGGACTGCGTGCAGGCGCAACCGGTGGCTCTGCGGCCCCACTTTATCCACGCTCAGGGCCCCTCCAGACGGCGGCCTCTCCAGCTGCGCCACCCCCTCGCGGTCCACAGAGGCCAAGAGGACCCCAAGCGGGGAGGAGTCCGGCTGGGGCAGCTCTGCCCACCAGCTGAGAGCCAGGTGGACGTCCTGAGCCGATTCCACAGAGACGTTGCACCGGACGTCGGCTGTGTTGCCGCGGTAGAGGGTGGGCAAGGGCAGCCATGCCACGGCCCCCAGCACCACCGCTGTGGAGAGAAGGAGGCAGCCTGAGAAGAGGGCAGGAGCCCCTGCCACCTCCCACGGGTGCGAGAGCTCAGCCAGAGTTAAGAGATTCATGGCATGAATTATCATGCGCGTAATTATGGGATGGCAGGCAGTGCTGAGAAGACGAATGGCCTCTGGGGAACGTTTCCGTTCTTCTGCTTCCCTCAATAAAAGCAGGCAAAGGCTCCTTTTCTGCCACCGTATGTTTAAGGTCGGCTGAAAAGGTAGTCCAGCCGGCTGCTCTGTTTCACTGGGGAAGCCTCAGGGAATCCAAGACCAAGAGAAGTTCATGGTTCAATGCCCTTGGAGTCCACCCCTAAATTTGAGCGGTGACTGAAGTGGGGCACAAGAGTGTTTCTAAAATCCTTTTGGCCCAAACACAACAATATCTAACTAGGGAAAGGCAGCCCATAGAGGCCTCTGGAATTTGGCGGGTCATTATTATGACCCATCTCTCTTTTCTGATTGCACGGATTCAAATTATGGCTACTTAAGTCTTCCGCCACGTTCCAGAGGCTCTACAGCCTCCGGGAGAATTTGATCTCTGTAGATCCCAGCCCAAGAGAAAACCGGAATGGCTCACCCATTGCATCAAATCTGGAACCTTTCCGCATTTCTTGGGAAATTAGTTCAAGTGGGCAAGAACCCCGCTGGCCCTCATGTGCCCCCGCCTCAAAAGGCCAGCTCAGGTTAGCTCGGTGGGGGAAGAGGAAGGGCTACCTTGGGACTTGACCTCCACGCTGACCGCCTCAGAGCTCAGGGTGGCCAATGGACGAAACTCTGCGCTCGGAGACCGCGAAAAGGCCTGAACCTCACAGTGGTACGAGCCCACGTCCACCGGCTGGGCTGACTCGATCCGCAGCCGGAAAGCGCCCAGAGGGGAGTCCAGCTTCTGCAGGGAGACGTGCCTCGTGCCCGTGTTGCGGTTGGCGTAGTTCTGGCCCAGGACAAGCCCTCCACTGGCCTCCAGCCGGGCGACCAGATGCCCCTCCCCGGCAGCCTCCTTCCTCAGCTCCCAGCTGACCGCAAAGGCAACGTGGGGCAGGAGGAGGACAGGGGTTCCGGAGATGTTGCAGAAGAGCTCCAGGGAATCTCGGGGGCTGAGCAGGGCGCTGGGGGGCCCAGCAGACACCGAGAGCTGGCTCGCTGGAAGCAAAGCGCAGGGAGAAAAGGGGGTCACGGGCTCAGAGGTGGAAGAGCACGGCCCCTCCCTGTCCGTGACAGTCCTACACGTGCCCCACCCCACCGATCGGCTCCCCGTGGTAACCCCAGAGCAGGGTGGCCTCAAGGCCCAACAGGCAGAGTGGAGTGAAGGGAGAGACGCTGGCAGGAGGGAACT